AATGTATCACAATCTAGTAAACTTATATGGCAAAAAGGAGCCAAAATCAAATTCTCTTACCACGTGTTTTTAAGCTTCTAGTTATATTACGATAAGCAAGCATAAACCTAGCATCCCTTGTTGTTTCAAAAACCTAGGCCTAAGAAGTAGTGGCAGACACATGTAGAATAGAGTTACAGCAGGCTCACTTTTTTGAATTGACACTTGGCTTGGCAGATCATCGATTGTTGACTCATCTCATCCAACCTAATCAGTAAACAACTTTAATTAGCAAAGCTAAAACTAAAAGTTAAGTAGAGAATTAGAGGCAAGGTCTAGTGATTCCCATGGCCAAATCAAACAATCATGGATAGAATCTTTTGACTTCAATGAAGTTAATTACATACAAAAAATGTTGTTTAAGCAAATATATTAGCTTTCACAAATGAATTATAATAGAAGTTACTAATAAAAGAGTTTCCAATTTGTTTTGCAGGAAAGGATGTTCAGTATTTCATTTGAATTCAATATTAAAAGCTGCAATGATTTTAATTGCCCACCCTATAAATATCACAAATAATAATAATAATAATAATAAAAAGAAACTAACAGTACACCACCATAATACATACGTAATAATACAACAGTGAACCAAACTCTACTTTTCCTTTTCAAATTGCTTTCCTCTACATCCATCAACAAAACATTTCCGATCAAAATTGAACCTAAAACAGAGTGATAAAAAAAAAGTGAATCTCAAATAACAGGGAAAAGAACCCAGTGCAAGAGAAACAAATAAAAGAGTCTACACACTTTCTACTTTCTAGCACTTGTGAACCATCAACACAAAGTGCTGATTATATAGTGCTGATTCACAGAAATAGATTAAGAAGTAGAGATAGAGTTGAATGAACTGCTATCTTTCAACAAAGCAATGAAGCCTCTCCCCTACCATCCAAATCCTTAAAAAAAAATTAAGTCATACATAAGTGAATCATTTTTCATAGGAATAAACTTAGCTAAATTAAAAGGCTTTTGGAACATGGAATGCTAAACTTAAAAAAAGGAAACCTAGAAATTACATTAAAAAAAATGGCAAGTTATGGAAATTAGCATTCAAATAAGACCATGGTAAAAAGTAAATTTGTAACTAATTGTTTCTTGAGTGGCATGACAGCATGACCATACAACAACAAAGAAATAACTTCTACAATCAACACAATCTAAACATCCATCAAACTTTAAAGGTGATAGCAATGGAAAACAATAGCAAAGAAAAAAAAAACTGTCAACAGCAGGAAACTAATTGGATCAATTTTCTGAAAAAATGCAAATGTCGTATGTTTGGTATTTGGCAATTGAGATGCATAAGCACCTTACATACACTAACAAGAAGGATGTGCATGGGTTTGAATGACTATATAGTAATCAGCTTGAGCAAGATAGAAAATTACATAAAAACTTTCCATGGAATCAGTAAACAGAAGCACTTGAGACTAATGTACCCAACTGTCATAAAAATCTTGCAACTTATTTAAGAATCAAAAATCACACTGATCCACTAATTCATACCTTAGCCATCAATCACCACATCTGCCCTATACCTTCCCTTTTTCCTCTTTCTTTGAGGTGGCAACCACTAAATTGCAAGCTAATAAAATTTTTTTTTTTTAAAAAAAGGAAAAATGTGAGAGAGAGGCAACACGCAAAGGAGATTTTTATGTTATGGGAAGATATGGCAAACCACACATAAGCAACCCAAAGCATATAAGCAATACAACCAACAAAATCCTTTTCCAACCACATATGCCGAACAAAGAAAGCTGCAAACATATAAGCAACAATAATAGCTCTAACCAAAGTAACAAACATCGCCAAACATAACCACAAAAGAGTTAATAAATCAATAGAGTAAGATGCAGAACCTAATACCCATGTCAATTTTCACAAAAGAAAATACAAAAAGCAAGAAATAATCCCATTAAATTTTTCAAAAAGAAAATTAAAGGAGATTGCACTAACCTAAAAAGCCATACTAGGGAGGCTAAATTACTAACCTGCAGGCCACCTAAGCCATATCTGCCCTAAAAAGAATATTATTCTCTTCCTTCCAACTGGAAAAAAGGACAAAAAGATGCTATAATAGAAAGAAAACTCATATGAACAAACTACAGAATCCAAGAAAACACAAATAAAAATACCAAATGGGCACCATTTAAGAGAAGTAGAAGAAAGCAAAGGCGGTAATAGAATACCTCCAACCCCTCCTTTGGAATCCTTCCTCAGATCCTTATCTTCACTTGAAATGTTCGCTATCTCCACTTCTGAATCCTCATCATCATCCCATGATTCCTTCCTTGGCATCCCCTTCTTGTTCCCACCACTCGGCACACTCATACCTTAAAGCATTCCTAGAAATTAACGTAACAAAATCTGAGTGCAGAGAAAATTATATACACATAACAGAAAATAGAAGAAAAGGAGAGGGAGCTAGAGCAGTTTCTATGTGCCTACATTGAAAAGACAATCATCTAATAAATTTCCTTTTATCTAATAGAATTGTTATATAAAGTAAATAGTTCCCATCACAAAGTTCTGTAACATAATGGTAAAAACTAAAAAGTAAAAAGAGATTAGGAAAATAAAACTGAAATAACACAGTAAAAACCACAATTATCTCTATTTTTTCAAAAAAAAAAGTGAATACTTCTTCTCATAACCCAAAACCAACTTTAAAACTTGAAATATTAATCCCAGTTCATATTTTCAAGACCACACTAGTATACCAAAAGACGTGCCTCCATCAAGAGCAAAAACATTCATAACCTAAGCTATGTCAATAGCATATTTAAAAAAAATTTAATTAACAGAATAGCGTATTATGTAAACTTTATAGTTTTCTTCTTCCCAAACATCAGTAGTAAAAGAGGTATCAAAGATTGTGTCACACAATGCACCAAAAGAAAACCATACTAAGACATCCCTTTCTCATCTATCTTAAAATTATAACTCTTTCCTTTTCTTTTTTACCTGGCTCAATTTCAAACTTAAATTTATAATTTAGTCTTAAGTTATTACCAAATAATTCCAATAGAAAATTAATACTAAGGCATTGAAGAACTAAAAAAAAAAAAGAAAAAGAAATGGAGAGGAAAGAAATATTGGATGTGAATGTTATCATGGTTTCTTTAGGGCTTTTAGTGTCAAATTTGGGAGAGCTTATGATGAAAGAGGAACTAAGGAAGAAGTTCATCACAAACATATAGAAAGATGGAAAATAAATTATTAATTCTCACAAATTGTGAACAAAGAGGGAAGGAGGAAGTTTATGGATTTTTGTAGAAGAAATTGAATAAAAAGAGAAAAAGAAATAAACTGTAATATTCCAAATTTTCGGGAATTTTATCAATTAAGTTAGGGGACTTATTTTGGGAGAAATATTGTTTTGGGGCCTAATAGCTAAAAACTCCAAAGTTGAGGGACTTAAAAGAAAGGAAATGAGATAAGGATCAGCTGCTGTTTCTTTTTCTTTTTTTCTTTCTTTCTTTTCTTCCTCATCAGACCCGCGACCTGCTCTTCTTCTTTTTCTCCCTGACAAGCCCCTCCCCAACCGCCGACTTCCTCCTTGAAAATTGGTGACAAAGCTTGGATATTTTCCCGTCTTTCTTGTGCAAGAACAAGCTATGGGACTTAGAACCCTCCCTCTAAAGCTGGAAACTGCCGATCTGCTCTGTTCTTCCTTCCCGTCGGCAAGCTGTTGTGGGTGTGTGGGTGTGAAATTTTAGGTCTTTTCGGTAAGAATTAGCCCTGAAACTCCTCTCTTTAACCTTGATTTATGTTGGGTTCACCCTAATCTGGTTTGTTCTTCCAATTTTGGGTTAATTCCGTGAGTTCTCCTGTAGAATTGCCGCCGCCTCTTCCCCCTGCCAGGTCCGGTTCTGCAGCTGGAAAAATTCTGGTATGATGGCCACTCCTCTAAGTCCGAATTACCCACTTAATTGCTGCTTGTTGAATTTTAATCCACTTAGTGCTACCCTTGTGCTGTCTGAAAATTATGTTGGAAGATAGGAGAATTTTGATAGCTTTAAATGGTTCTTTTTGTTTAATTTAAGTAGAGATTAGCTTAATTTGGCTGCTGTGAATTTTATAGAGAAAAATCCCATGACTTAGCCATTTTTGGCCAAAGCCGTGGGTCTCCATGTTCTTGTCCGTGAGATTGGATAATTTTATAAATGTATATATATATATGTGTGTGTGCCCAATTTGCTTTTAGTGCTCAAATCTTGGAAATAAAAATAATAATAAGGAAATAAATATGGCAGTAGATGGGGGTGCAAGTTAAGTGGTTTATAATTGAGAAATGGATTGTTTGTTGAATGTTATATTCTTTTCCCTAGGAATATCGTGTTTCAATTGGGAGGAAACAATGAGGCTTTGGTTAGGTTCTTGATCCTTAGTTCACTTTAGCACTTGAATCAAGTCTTCGGTTTTATGCGAGTAAGGTTAGTAAATTATGGTAACGTCCTTCGATTTCAAAGCATATTTTAAATTGTTTTTGAGATGGTGGCAAGGTTGAAATTGATTTTATTAGTACTGAGCATGATTGGTTTGAAATGAAATTGTTTTCATTTGCATTGAGTAGAGCATGCCTACTTGGAATTGACTGAACTGCCTTGATGAGCTGACAAAATTTTGATTTTTCTGTTAAATCCATGCTCACATGAAAATTTTTCGGTTTATTTCTGAAATTTGAGATTGATTATGAATTACGGATTTTTTTATAAATCCTGCATGGTTTTGTCTCTGATATAGTCATGATTACTGATTACTGACGCTCACCAGTGGGAGTTTGGAAACGCTAGCACATGTCGACATGTTTATTGATATAACCGGTTCATTCTGTAATCTTGCCAATGGGATAATACATTGGTAATTACTAACGCCTGCCAATGGACGAATACATTGGTAATTACTGACGCCTGCCAATGGACGAATACATTGGTAATTACTGACGCCTGCCAATGGACGAATACATTGGTAATTACTGACGCCTATCAATGGGAGTTTGTTAAACACTGGTTATTACTGACGCCTGCTAGTGGGAGTTTGTTAAACACTGGTTATTACTAACGTTGCCAGTGGGAGTATGTTAAACATTGACCATAACTTATAGATGAGACTATTACTGAATTTTCTTCTGCATTAATGGGTTGTCATTGAACGTTTTGTTATTGAACTGAATCTGATTCTGTATTAATGGTTTATCATTGAATGTTTTGTTATGTTAAATTGTTTATCAGGCATGCTAAAAATTTTACCCAAGGGCTATCCATATTTACTTACTGAGTTATCTCATAGTTTTTTTCCTTGTCCACCATTTCAGGAAGCGAAGTCAAAGACAAGGAAAAACGAGGGGAGTGACGAGTTAGAAGGTTAGCCATTTGTAATCGGATATAAGTTTTAGATATTATCATTCTTTTGTAAGATAGATTTTTCCTTGAGATTTTATGGTATCAAAATAGATTTTGTGGAATGGTTAAGTTTCGAGTCTTGTGCACTTGTGGGACCCGTCTTATAAGTGTACGGCATCTTATACCCTCGTATTTGGGTTTTGGGGCGTGACATAAACTATAAAAACTAAAGGTGAGTGAGGTTAGACTAAGGTAGTTTTATTAGTTTTTGTAAGGGGAAAGAAATTTAGGGTTTGAGAAATGAAAAAAGAGGTGAATTGGCCATAAAAGATGTTGTATTAGGTAATTTAAAGGGTATTTAAATTATAGTTGTAAAAATCAAATTGGATTGGTCAATTAAACCGATTAGATCAATATCCAATAATTTAAATGGATCAAATGAATGCTTAAAACCACTATAAAGGTTAAACCACCCATAACCGATAGAAACACAAACCATTAAGAGCCTGTTTGGTGTGATTGAAACTTTTGATAGAAGTCCTTTTTAAAAGAAAATATGTTGTAGAAATATTGTTTTTAAGAAGTAAAAAGTATTTGGTAAAATTTTTTACAGAATTACTTTTAAAATAAAAACTTGTTTCGTAAATTTTTTATAAAAAATCTTTTAATATTGTATAATATTAAAATGACTGAAATTGACATTTTTACTTAATGAAGCATCACTCTCACTCCATTTTTTATTTTATATTTTTATAGAACTTTAAGTTTATAATTAGTTTAAGGTTGATGATTAAAAATTAATTATTTATATTTTAAAACATAAATGCTAGATAAATGCTTATATTTTAACATTAAAAAATAAAATATACTACATTTAAGTCACATAAATAAGACAATTAAAATTAAAATTTATACCAAATAATCATCTTGGTTGATTTTTTTTGTTAAGGATAGAGTTATGGAATCTCGAAATGAAGACATGTTACGATCATCCATTGTATTAACAAAATTATTTTGAGAAATTCCTTGATTCATGCTTTCTTCCTTAGGCACTTCAGGCATATACTATGTTGCCTAATATAATTATGAAGTGCAATAATTATAACTACAATTTAAATATCTTGATCACAAGCAACGAAAAAGGGAGGAAATAAAATAGTTTTTGTTTTGTTGACATTTTTTTTGTTCAAATTTGAACGATTTTCTAAATATTAGGAATAACAGTTTAAAACAAAAATTTTTTTGCATCTATCCCATAACCAATGTTCTCTTAACATATAAAGGAAGAAGAACCATGCTACTACCTTCACATATACATTCAAACCAAATGGTTAAAAAAAAAAGAAGAAAAAAAAAAGAGAAAACAATCTTGCTATTTTACTTATTTTTCAAAACTATTGCCATTATTCTACCACGAGCAGTTTTCAAATTTGTGCTAAACTTTCTTGATTTTCTTTTTTGCGAGTATGACACACCTCCCTTAGGTACTCTTAGTCCCAGGGGAATTCGAAAATAAGAATTATAGTAAAAGATTGTAGCAGAAGTAGAAAACACTTTTAATATAAAATGTTTCTTTAAAAAAAAACATACATTCAAATCAATTAAAACTTTACAAAAAGAAAATCAAATACTTGTAAAGGAAAACTACTTTAACCAGAAAATGTATTAAGGAAATGTCAAAATACTCAAGGTTATAAATTAAGTTGGGCTAAGTTCATTTAATTAGTTTAAATATTATATACATAAAAGTAATTTACACAATCATGAGGGTGAACCCTTCTCAAAAGCTTTTCAAAATATCAAATGCCGAATCGTCGTTTTGGTAACACATTGATCCACCTCCATATTAAAAGCACAAGGTCCTATCTTTTACGTACAATGAGCATACGAGACCTCTATCGAAACTCCCTAGCTAGTGACTACTACTCTAATCTACGGATCTAAAATGGGGGGAATTTTATAAGCTAAAAGCCCAGTAAGTATTAAGTTTAAGTTATAAACTTGGGTCCTAAGACCCTTAGACCTATACATACAAAGAGCATGAGATACAACGGAACCAAATCACATAATATTATAATTCCCAGTATTTAAATAATAACTTAATATCTTAAATCATAACCACACATGTCAAGGAATAATCAATAACCTTTAAATTAAATTCATATAATAAAATCATATACTCACAAACACGATGTCACAAACACAATGTATAAAATTGAAAATCACACATTACTATAGAGTTTACTTATGTGTGCTAGTAATATTGTACCAGAGCTAATTACAGTACTAACCCTACTGCATAGAGATCCATTAAATACCCCAAAGGATCCACTGAATATCTCGGAGGGTCCACTGAATACCCTAAGCTTTAAGTTTAGGTCTACTTACTCCATAGCCACAAACACATATGCATGTTAAACAATTTCAGAATATGTCCAAAATAATATTAGAACTTTATCCCATTTAATGTTTCCATTAATCAGTGATACTGACAATTCAAGTGCATACTAATAACCACATACATATTTCACATATTCCATAAAACTTCTTATTAAGATATTAAAGTATAGTGTGTGAACAGTAATGCGTGAATAGTGTACGTGAACAATAACGCGTGAACAGTGATATGTGAACAATAACACATGAACAGTGATACGTGAACAATAACATGTGAACAGTAATACGTGAATAGTTCCAGCAAGTAATTAGCTAATAAAAATTCACAAAGAATTCCAACATCAACCAAAATCCACTTCCGGCTCTACACTCCACCAATGCCCAAAATTCCAAATTTTACTAAACAAAAATTCTAATACTAAAAAATTTTTTAAACAAAAGATTTATAGTCATATCCCACCACTTAAACTAATTTTTGTGTATGATATAACCAATTCCATAATTTTTCCCCCAAAACTCTAACCCAAATCTATAGCTAAACTTACACTTACTTAAAAATCAAGTGCCTTATTGAAGAGGACAGTAGAAATTGAAAAGGATTCCAAGTGAAGAGTGCTCCTTGCACCTCAATCTTGGTTGGAGGAAGAAGGAAAAAAGCTGCAAAGGATGGCTGGAAAAGGAAGGCGTAGAAAAATGGTGGGTTTTCGGGAGCCTTCCGGACGCTTATCTAAGTCCAGCTGAAAAAGAAAAATGCTTGGTTGGTTAAATGCCATGTGGTAAGAAAAATTGGAATAATTGAGTTAAGGCCTTTCAACTCCTCCTAAGTTCTACTTAAAACCTCCAAACTTTAAATTCACTCAATGTAATCCTTAGAACTATAAAATAAAGGACTCTAATTTTTAAATTATTCACTAAGGTATGTGGAGTGTTACAGCAAGTGTCATGGTTGTTTGCTTGCTTGAATATTTTCCAGCTTTTGATAACGAATCTTAAGATCAACCCAGCCCTGCCCTTTCCCCATTGTGAGAAAGTGGAAAAGGATTTGATTTTTCTCAAGGAGAGAAGAATGATTGCTTTAGGGTAAACATAGAAAGCTTGATCCCTTTCATATTGCAGAAAATCGAGTCCTTTTTTAGTTGGCCCTTGGAATTTTATCTGAACATGGATATGCATGAGATAATTACTACAGTTAAAAAATGAACCAAAATTGTTAAGATGAAAAATTTAACGTCCAAATATATGGAACTGCATGAACAAGAGATGGAATTTTAGGATTTAGAACATGTTAATAACTGTAATCATTGTTTTCATTTGTATTATTACATCTACAATGTCACAATATAGCATGATTGTGGTTTAAGTTATGCATTATTTAGAGGACTCATTTAGGTTTTTGGTCTAGTTATACTCTTAAAAGTTGAAACCACTACTAAACAAGAAAACTGCTTCCAACACTGTTTAGTATCTAGTCAGGTAATTAAGTTAAAATACCAAGGCATATCTGACATTGATTGCTAGTTAGAAAAAAAAAAAGAAGAAAGAAACTCAAGGGTGGACCTTATCATCTCTCTCTTTGATTTATCTTTTTATTGGTATTTTAAATCTATATTTACTTAATTGCTAAATTTGCTTTTTTAAACTTTTGATCAAGTCCCCTAGCATTAAGTTTGCATTTTAAATCCATTGACTAAGACTTAACGATTAACACTCAAATACACAAACAATGACACCAAATGACCAAAAGCTAACAATATCTCAAATACATTCTGCATCTGAAACTCAATTATTGCTTAAACATGACCTTTTATATATACTGAGAATAAGTAGAAACCACAACAAAAAACAAAATGCTAAAACTAGGGAGAATTATCAGATAGAGCTAAGATATATTGATGCCATCATCCTAGCAATCATCTATACTGTGTTTTAACTTTCCTTTCTAACATATAAATATTCATTATAATTAAAACAATAAGCAAGCCAAACAAGAAATTGAAACAGCCACCAATCGAAGAAATGCTAAAACAAATGCTTGGATGCCCACAATTTTTCTAAATATAAGAAATACTAAAATATAGTAATAAGACACATGACAACAATTAGTCAAGGAAGTATCATATGTACTATATTTTCTCATCTTCTCTAGTAAGAAAAAACAAATTACGATCAAATTAATGGTTTAGCAAGATCAAGTTGCATATCTTGAGACAAAATTAGTTTTTTGGCCTAACCAGAAACCAATTGTCCAAAAATAAATAAGAACCCAAAATCTTCAAAAAATCATCAATCAAAAAGAAAAGAAAGGGTAGCAAGGGGAGCTTATTTAAGACAATGGTTTTGTAGATCTAGAAAAGTAGACCGAATTGCCCAAGATCCAAATCCTAAAGCTCCTCGCGCTCGTCTTCAGTGGCAATGGGTGTAATATCCCAATATTTTCTAGGACCTTAAAATTTAAGTTAAGGATTTATACGGGAGAAATTATTATTGTGGGGTCAAATAACTAAAATTTTCAAACCTAAGGAGGGTTAGAAAAGAGAAATCTAGTGATCTAAAAAGAGCTAAGGTTTTTCTTTTTCTCCTTGCCTTTTCGTGTTTCTCTAGCTCTTCACCAAAAATTTTGCCTCTATGTTCACTAGCTTGCACCTAGCCTCTTTTTGCCAAGACTAAGTAAGAAACTTAGCTTATCTTCTTTCTCCTAGTAAGATATAGAGATTAATAGGCTTATAATTCTCAAAATCATGAACAATATTTCAAATCTGGGTTGCTACACCCTCAAATCTGCTGATTTGTTTTGGGTTGCTATCCATCACCATTTTTAGCACTTTTTGGTAAGAAATCAACTATGTTACTCATCTTTTCCTTTATGATTTGAAGTGGGTTAACTCTAATCCTTTAGGGTTTTCAAATTTCCTTTACTTACCTGAAATTCGAACTGCATGATTCTTTTATAGTAATTTACCCATAACTCTTTCTGTATATATTGTTTTGATTTTATTTTTGATTCTATGAAAAGTTAAGAGATAACTCTACAATTTTTATATTGGATATTTAGCCCAATTCAACTCTTTTCAAGATGAAAACTCTATTGCAATTTTAGATTCTATAGCGGACTGAATTGGCAGCCTAACTTGTTGTCATTATTTCGACCATAACTTCTTTTGTAGATGTTGGATTAAGGTAATTCTTGATCCTATAGAACACTAAGACATAGGGCTACATTTTATATGTTAGTCATTCAGCCCAGATTGATCAAAATTTGGGTGAAAATTCTAGTGGAATGTCCAATTTGAAAATTACCCAAACTTTCCTAGAAAATTATTATGTTTTCTACTTTACTCCCACATTCCTACTACTATATTGCATCATGATTTTTTTCTAGATTTTAGCTGTTATTTTGGTTGCTTTTGCCCCATTTTTGGTTTGTGAATTTCTACTCTATTAGTTACATTAAATAATCTATTTTAGTTGTTGCTTTAACCCTAGAATACTGCCTTGGCTTACTGCTAAAATGTTGTTTTTCTTGGCTTAGTTTTTGTTCAATTTTTGCTGTTGTTTTGGCCAAAATTTTGCTATTTTCTACACTGTTTTAACTCAGAAAATTCTACAGCTTCCTGTACTTTCCCTTTGTCTTTTTTACAATATTTAACCCAAAAAATTCTACATTTTTCTAATTTTTAGAATGTTTGCTGTCATATTTGGAAATTTTTTTAAATATGGCCATGCATATGAATTAATATACATATGCTAGTAAGGTTTTGGTGAGTAGAAATGGCAAGAAGAGATATGGAGAAATTGTTCCTTTGGGTTAGAACTTGGTGTTAGAATTAAAGACCAATTTAGTTGAATGAGGCATGTTGAGATCCTGTTGTTCTTGATATGAAATAGGTTCTAAGACACCTTCACCTCCTTGAGACTTGAATTCTAGCTTACAGTCTAATGACAAGGGGAGGTAAGTAAATTTATGGTTCGTCCTTGATTTTAAAACGTAAGTTTGAACCATCACTTTTATTGATTTTGAGATGGTGGCAGGATTAAAAGTCTGTTTTGGCTGAACTACCATGATTAAATCTTATTTTATCGAGTTGGATTTCAATTGGTTAAGTAAGCCTATTTATAAAAGTTTTTAACATATCTTACTTGCTCCTTGTTATACATGTTTTCTTGACTTGACTTGAAATGTACTTTCTAACATGTTTTAGTCTCTAATGTGGTCATGTAATACTTGTGCCCACTAGTGGGAGGTTTATAAATGCTAGCACATGTTAACATATTACTTATGGAACCGGTTCATTCTAGCTATACTTGTTATCCTACTAGTGGGATTATACACTAGCAAATCTTGTGCCTGCTACTAGTAGGAGGTTTATAAACACTGGCCATGACCTATAAAGGAGACGTCTATTTCATTCTCGTACTTGTACCCGTTTTTCTTGATACTTGATTATACTGGTTGATATGCTATAACTTTAATTAAAGGCTATCCATATTTACTTATTGAGTTATCTTACATAATTTTTCCTCGTCCACCATTTTAGGTAGTGAGACGGAGATGTGGGAACTAAGGGGAGTGACGAGCTAGAAGGTTAGCCATTTGTGTTTTGGAAATAAATTTTGAGATATAGATCATTCTTTTGTAAACTAGATTTTATTTTGAGATATTGATATAAGTTTATTTGGATTGTTAGTTATAAATTTAGCAAGTTCTGAGCCTTATGCATTTGTGGGATCCTCTCACAAGGGTACAGTGTCTATTTTGCTCTCGATTTTGGGGCGTGACAATGGGTGAACACCTCACTACAGAACCAATCAAGACCGGGAAAATTAAGGGGAAAATTAAGGATTTTGGGTTGCTTTTCAAGTTGGTTGAGAAAGAAAATAGGGAAGAACCGGAGAAAATAAAGGGGAGCAAGGACAACTTACTTGAAAATGTAGCTTTATAGATTTGGAACAAGTAGACCGAATTGCCCAAGATCCAAATCTTCAAGCTCCTTGTGCTGGTCTTTAGTGGCAATAAGTGAACACTCTTCTTCATAGCAGTTGATTGGGAAACTGAAGAGGAAAATTAGGGATTTTGGGTTGCTTTTCAGGTTGGTTGAGAAAGAAGAAGGGGAAGAACCAAATAAGATGGGGAAGAACTGATGAAGAAAAGGAACTAAAGAAGATGGGGAAAAACCGAACAAGATGGGAAATGAGAATTAGGGATTTTCGGTTTGCTTCTCAGATTGGATGAGGAAGAAGACAGACAAGAAAACAGGGAAGAAAGATGGGGAAGAAACATAGGGAATGATTCTGGGTTGCTTGACAACGAAATGGGAATGGTGGTTGATGTTATAAATGGAACCTTATACAGTGGTTTCTCTGTAAATAAAAGGAAATGTGAGGATAAAATAAGGATAATGTGTGGATAAAATAGGGATAATGTGTACATTTCATTAAAACCAAAAGTAGAAGTCCCTATAGAAGCACCAATTCCGTGTTTACATTTCATTAAAACCAAAAGTAGAAGTCCCTATAGAAGCACCAATTCCGTGTTTACATTTCATTAAAACCAAAAGTAGAAGTCCTCGTAGAAGCATCAATTTCGTGCTTCTGAAAATTTCAATAAAATGGAGAAAAGACCAACTTCCCACAAGTTGAAGCATTTTTCAGAAGTTGTAATATTTGGTGCAGCTTGTACTTTTGAATCCAATAAGTTCTTCTCACAAGTTGCACCAAATAGATACTAAATTGTTAAACCAAATAGTTCAAAGCTTTTGAGAAAATTTCCTTAGATTTACCACCTCCAAGGTTCGAACATGACTTCAAATATATTTTCAATAAGTTTTGCCACTACAGCATCACTTTCAGAGTTGATATATTTTGCTTAAAATTTTATTTTTTTTTTATTTTAAGAAGAAAAGAATTGAAAATATCATTCAAGGGAATTGAACTTCCTTCAACTTTATCAAGTTCCTCCACCTGATTTGAGGAGAGATATTGTTGATTTTTATATTGAAATTAATATAAAATTTGTTTAATTTACATTTTAAAGGTATAAATTAAAGTATAATAAATGTAATTTTTTATAATTAATTTATATAAAAAATTATAAAAATTAAAATTTATTTTAACACTATTAATAAGTAGATAATTTTAATTGATTAATTAATTAATTTTAGGTCAATTGTTATAAAAAAAACCATTAATATATTATAGGTTAGAAACATAATAATATAAATTTTTATATTTATTTATAATTAATTTATATAAAAAATTATAAAAATTGGTGTTTATATATATGATTTTAATTAGTTAATTAATTAATTTAAAGTCAATTTTTACAATTTTTTTCATATAAATTAATTACAAAAAATTATATTTATTGTATTTTTAACCTATGTTGTAAAAGCCTATTGATATATCATGGGTTATAGGTTAGAAACATATTAATTAAATTTTAATATCTCCTAAGCTCGAACCTTCACCCCCAAAATGGTGAACATTGCAAACCAGTAGAACCATTGCAAGATTATTCAATTACTACACATTATTATCTTATAAAATATAATTTTTTTATCTTTAATAAAAAAGATGATGAGAAAACAAATTTGTAGTGAAAGTGAAATTTGTAATGGAATGTCCAGCACAAATGTAGACAAATTAAATCTTTAGAATATGTTGAATTTGTATTTTTAGAATTTCAATTTAAAGGGATGAATTTAAAATTATTGATTAAATATGGTTTTGACATGAAGTTCATGAATTTGAATTTGACTTGGATTTCAATATTAATTTCTTTGCCTGTGATGCCATGAATGGATTTAAGAGTATCCTTCTGTGTTCTCAATTTTGAATCCAAATGGTTTAGATTTTAATTGGTGAAAACATGGAGAAAGAGGGAAGTGGATGATAACATGTGGATGCCATTGTTTATTCACATTATCACTTTTTACTTGCTAAAATATCTACATCATCAATTTGAATGTAAAATAAGAAAACTACTTCAGTAAATGCACCATTTGTGTAAAAAACTTGACAAAGAGAATCAAAAGGACAAAAAAAAAAAAAAAAACTTTAGGACTAAAAAAGAAATGTTTTCAGTTGAGGACCAGAAAGAGGCCTATACAAAAAGTCTAGGGACTTAAAAATAGGGTTTAAATCTTTCCTTTTCGTCCATCGATGAAATTTCAAAAATTGCCATTCTCTCTTCTTAAAAAACCAATAAATTACGATGATCTCAATCCCAATCCCAACTAAATATAAAATCCGAGTAATGGAAAATGAAAAACCCGTTCAGTTCCCTTTCCAGTTTACTGTCCAAAATATCAAAAGTTTCCCTCCTCTGTAAAAATTCTGAAAACCATCTCCGATCCTGCCGTACGTGGAGCCCTAGCTTTTCTTCGGTGATCTAATCGGACTCAAGTCGAAGGTACTCTGATTCCCGATTTCAAATTCGCAGAACTTTCTTTTTCCCTGCTCGTGACACACACTGAGTCAAAATTACGGCAATTTGAAATTGGAATGATGCCGTGTTTTCCATTTTGTTATGGTTTCTGTATGTTCTGGGTTTTTATTGGTTTTGTCGGATTAATGGCTTTGGTTTTCGGGTGTTTTATGGAAGTAATTTCGGAGAGTAGTGAAAATATCTCTGAAGTGTGTTTGGGGTGGGAGGATTTGGAAGAATGTGCTTGGATCCTCATTTGTCTTGCTTTTCCATTATTGCGACTTTAGTTTTTTTGTTTTTGTTTCGATGTTTGTTATTTGTTTTGAATCAAAAGGTAGTTTTTTTTGCTTATTAAATTTTGGTAACTAAGTTCTTAAGTTACCATGAAGGTGTCATTGGAATTTACTGCCCAAGTTCATTTATTGCTTCATTTTCTTCATATTGTCTTCTTTTATTGGATGACAATTGTTTCTGCATCTTGAAGTCGGAATGGAGTGGAGTTGGGTTTGCCCACGTTCTAGAGCCATATACTCCGTCCGCCAAAGAGATAACTTCGTGTTTTTCCCTCGTAAAACTCATTTTTGCTTGCTATGATGAAAAAATCTTCAGTTTTATAAGCTTTTGAGTTGTAATTCTAATTAGCTGTTTTCTGAAAGGTTTGAATGTAAATTTAAGTATTGTTGAATCACAAATCCGGACAACTCCAATTTGAATTTAGAGCTAGTACATCGCGTTAGATTTTGTTTTAGTAAAAGGGGGTGTAAGTTTGAGATAGGAGTTCAATTGGGGATGATTTCAAGAAAAGAAAAATAATATAATAATCTCATTACTTTAAATTTGAATTAAGGTCCATTAGTTCTAGCATGTATAGCCAAGGTTACAGAAAGTGCTAGGCAATGGTGGGCAGTTGCCCACAGCCTCTGCCTAGGGTGCATAGGTCGTGCCTAGGCTGCCTAGGCAGATTTTTTTTTAATAATTTTTTTGATATAATTCTAAGAAAATAAGAAAAAAATGTAACACAATTTTAAAAATTAAAAAAATAAACAGAAAAATTAAACATTTTTCTATTCATTATCATGTTGGAAAAGCAGAATTTAGGGGAATTACTAGGCATTTATTTTTTTAATATAATTTTTATAATAAATTGAATGATGTTCGCCATTAAGTGCGCCTAATAGTGCCAGGGTGTGCTTAACTGATCTGGGTGGTGCAAACCGCATCAAATTTCTGCCTAGAGGCTGATGCGGGCAGAATGGAATTGCCTAGAGCCTAGGCCTGCTTTTTACAACCTTGTTAGCAAATATAGATTTTCATTTAAAGGGAATGTTATTGAATGGTAACTTCTTTGGCTGTCATGGGAAGGTTTGAGTTGGTTTGAAACTCACTGAAGTCTAGACCCACTTTGCTAAAAGGCAACCTTTTCAAGGAATAAGTTAGAATCTCAGAAAATCTAAAAATTTCACAATATCATGGCCTTTTTTTAGGTGCATTTGATACCATCTTCTCTAGGCAAACCATCTGTGTATATTATTTCTACATTTGAACCAAATTTCCTCTTTCTTTGATTCCAAGGTTCTCACTGTGAACTCCATATTTGGATGGTGACTTTTAAATTAATAAGTAATAATCCTTGATCATTCAAGGGTATGATGTTCTCTGATAATCTAATTACTTTTTCATCTCATGTCTGTAGTTGTTTTTATTTTGTTTTAATTAATTTTTATTTCTCAAAATTTCAATGTGTCTTTTCATTTAGTTGCGCATATGTTGTTAATAGGCTTGTTGCTTGTTATACTGTTTGTCCTTTGATCTGATGTGGTTGATAATTGTGTGTATATATTTTTGCACCTTTCAGCATGTGGAAAGGCATTTTGTCTACAAATTAGTTTTGGTTCTTTTTCTTCTTTCTTTTTTTATTTTTTATTTTTTTTATTTTTAGAAAAGCAGTTTTTTTTCATTTTAATCCCTCTGTGATATGTTTTCTCATTAAATTCCTCTCAGCAAAACTGCTGTATTGATCTAAATTATTTTATGTTCTTGTATTGTCATCGGCTTGTTAGTGTTGAAGAGATCATACAGGGATGGATGAATGTGACTAAATTGTTAGGTGTGTTGTTTGGTTGAGATGTGGGTAGGGATGACCTGGTCCCATTCTTGTCCTGCCAGTGGGGTTAAGTTGATCCCAACCTTGTGCAAAATACAATTACCATAACCAATTTTATTTTTTTAAATAATTTTTTAAATTGATAAGTTTAACCTTTTTTTTAGACGCATATGACACCCAAGACTTGGAATTTCATAGACATAAACTCTTATAATCACAGTCTAGCACATAAAAACCAATTTTATAAAATAAGTGAAACATCATAACTCATATGAACCAATGAAGTAAGAATCATGTAACTCAAACTCTAAAAAAGAAATCACTTGCCTGAATCAATGTATAAAACAAAATTCTGTAGAAATGGTACCTTCAACCCCTCCCAAATACAAAAAAAAAAGAAGAAGGAAAAACCATAGTAGAACATGAATAACATTATTCTGCAATTGATTTTTATTTTTCTCTCCTGTGTATATTGTGCTTTCTAACTTTTTTTTTTTTTAATTTTTTTTTGTGATTGAGGAGGGCTGTGTTTATCTAGGTCAATCAAGTGTCACCTTGTTTGAAGTGCTGATGTGGTTATTTTATTTTCTTAGGTACAGTTCTGGAGGGTTAACGTCTTAAATCATCTTGAGTAAAAGATGGAGGAGAAACATGAGGAAGTTGAAGACATAATTGAAAGTGCCTCTAGTGATTCTTTTTTGGTTGATTCAGATGATGATGAACCATCAATATCCGGACAAGATGACAGTTCGCATCTTGAGGCAAGTTAGTTTGATGCTTTATTTTCATCATGGTTATCTTTTTGACCAATCATAAGGCTTGACGTTATTCTTGGTTGCTTCTATTTTTTGTTTTTCTTTCTTTATTCAACACTCATATCCAGTCTTGCTGATTTTATTTCACATTTTGTTCTACAGGAGCCTTTGACTGAGAAGGAAATAGAAGAACTGATTGCTGAGTTCTTGGAAGTTGAGAGTAAGGTATGGTATTCTTAGGTTGATGTTGATGTTCTATTTTTTTCATTATTATTTCGGAATGTTCTCTTATCCTCAGTTTAGGCTGCAGAGGCTCAAGAAGCACTTGAAAAGGAATCTCTCACTAAAGTGGAGAATGAAGTGAGGGAAGAACTGGCACAAACTCTTCATGGAGATGATGTTAGTTAACTGCTTATGTATTTTTCTCTTTGGGTTCCATTGCCCATTCTTGTCATTGACACTATTTTCATTGTTTATAGTTGGACAGAACTGTTGCGGATGAAATGACTACTTTTAGAGAGGAGTGGGAGTTTGTGCTAGACGAGCTTGAGATTGAGAGTGCACAGTTGTTGGTCTGCTTCTGTCTTTTGTTGTGACTGAAGTCATTTGTTCCTAATTTACACACTTTGTTCACAAAAATTTATTGAAATGAATTCTCTTCTGCAAAAAATTGCATGGAATCCTGTTTGCTTTAACTTCTTTTTGTAGCTCTATAAAATCAAATCTTTGTCTCTTTTTTCGTTGGGGGAGCCAAAAGAAATGGTGAAATTGGTCTTTTCCCAAGAAAATAAATAGTTATTCATACCAACAAGAGCTTAGTTGAGTTGGTACGTGTTAACAACTTTGACTATGGAGTTAAGGCTTTTTTTGTTGTGCCCTTTATTTTGAAGTTAAGGTTAGGTGGTCAAATCCCTGCAATTCCTAAGCCCTAACTTTCATTCCTGGTTTTAAAAAAGATTGAAATAGTTAATTTGTATTTGGGAATTAATAATAGTTACCCTTTGCTTTTGTTAAAATATATATACGTGTTCTCTTGCACCAATAAGGGAAGAAAATTAGTTTTGAGGAGCCTTGATCCTTGATTCAATATGATTGCATCTTACTCTCCTCACCTTCTTTCTCTTAGAATTTTTTATACCCATGATAAGATGGTGGCCTTCCCTCTCTTTTTGGTTTTGTTTTGTTTTTTTTTTTTTTTTTTTTTTTATGACTATTATGGTTGAAGCTACTAGTTCTTGACATTGCTGGCTTTGTTTATTTTGCCCATTTGAACAGGAACAACTCGATGGGGCTGGTATTGAGTTACCCACCCTTTATAAGTGGATTGAGAGTCAAGCTCCTAATGGTTGCTGTACTGAAGCTTGGAAAAAGAGAGCTCACTGGGTAGGATCTCAGGTGACAAGTGAAACTGCTGTGCTTATAGCCGATGCTGAGAAGCATCTGCAAACCCAAAGACCTGTACGGAGGTATGTTTCCACCTTTAGGACATAATCACAGAGTGAGGTAGAGTGAGGCTGGATTGACTTATCTAGAGTGTGATTTTTGTGAAACCTGGAGTGATTGTCTTTATTGGTGTATGTATGTTTAAAAAAAATGGTATGCATGTCAAATTTTAGTATAATATCTTTTCTAGAAGTTGGAATAGAGAGAAGTGAAGGAGGTTGACTGGATATTACATGGATCTCAATAATAAAGAATTTTAGCTTTCTAAGATCTTTAGATAGATAACCATTGATTAGCAGAATGGAGACCATGGACCATGGACTCATGTTTGATCCCATCTAGTCTGTTATTACATTCTAATTGTGTCATAAAGTCTACTATTAAACTGAGAAAAGGAAAAATAATATATTCATTTACTGCTGGTGAGAGACTTCATTTAAGTAGCTGATAATAAATTAAAGCTTGTATCTGGCCTTGGTAGTTGGTTACTTGCCTTTGTATTCTCAACCTTCATGGGGTAATACATGAGGTTTTATTTTTGGAATTAAAGCTTTGTCTATGCCTTTTTTTTTCTTCCTTTTTTGTTTTGATCAACCAAAAACCTTGCTTTGTGAAAATCCAATCCTTCCAGTGTGTTGCCTAGACCATAATGATAGTCCCATTCAACAATGAATTATGGATGCAATCTCTGTTGTTGTATCAACATTGCTGAGATCTGAGATTTGATATCAACATTGCTGTAGAAATAAGAATTATTTTTAAGTAATTATTTTAATTCACCATAAGCTACTTAACCCTAATACAAACTAGCATCTTTATAGAAAACTTAAACCCCAATATGATTCCTAATAGGACTCTTAAGGGGCTTATAAAAAAAAATAATAATAAAGGACTCTTAATGAAAAATTATGAAATATTAATAAAGTTAAGAAACTAAATCAAATCTTAAAGGTTTTGGGGTAGGTGTTTGGTAAAATAATTTATTCCCAAGCTGTTACACGTTAGGTCAGGTGTTTGGGAAAATCTTTTATATAATAATTATGGATCCACAATTAGTGGTAAGAACCCAATTCACTAGCAGATTGGAATGATAGCTTTTTGTAGAAAACCCCTGGCTTTTTTTTTAGCCATATAGAAGACCCCTAACTGATTGGATTTTTTTCTTTTTAATAAGGTTACCCGTTGAAATTATGTTTTGTTTTCTAATTTTTACATTAACTTGTTAGTTTCTTCTTTTTTATTTTTTTATTCATAATTGATTTTTTTTCTCAAACAAAATTTGCTAAATGATGATTCGAAAATAATTAGTGGAGAATTTTTTTTCCTTTTATTTAATGAGAAAAGTGAAAATCAAAACATCCTGGCATTAAAAATGTCAAGACATTCGATCCCAACCACATAATAAATGAGACTTAGGTAGTGCTTACATCATGTCTCACTCATCATGTGATTTTGATTGAACATCTCGACATTTTTTAATGCCAAGATTTCTTGCATCCCCTTATTTAAAAATAAGAGTTTATTTTCTCTGTTAGAAATATAGTGAAAAGGTGTTAAATTTCATTATGGAATGTTTATTTATTATTATTAAAAAATAATTCTTTAAGTGATAGGAGATATAAAAAGAAAAAAATGAAAACTTACTTTTTAAATGTACTTATCAGTCATTTAATGTAAAATAGGAACTACTAACCATTGCATAACAAAATGGTTCTACAAATATGCCTCAAATAAATATAAAATACTAAGCCTTATATAATTAATTCCTAATAAAATTATGTTGTTTCATAAGGCTTTGTTTGACAGTATTGGCCTGTAGTTGCAGCTGTAGGTTTTTAGGCTTTTAACATCCAAAAAATATATAAAATATATTGAATATTTATTTTAATTAACATGTTATATATTTTTAAAATAGTAAAAAGGCAAAAAACCAAAAGCCAAAGCATTGAGAAGTGTCGTCAAACGAAGCCTAAATATTCATAATTACAATAGAATCCAAGGTAAAAATTGATGTAGACTTTCCTTGACTGCATCAATCATGTGTTCTAGAAAGCTTGGAGTTGACGTGTTGATCCATGATTTTTGTACAGGAAACATGGTAGGCTATTGGAGGAGGGTGCCAGTGGATTTCTACAGAAGAAACTTTCAAATGGTGTTAGCAAGGACCTTGTGACAGAAAAGCCTGATGTTGACTGGAGCTCATTCCTGAAAATATGTTCTGAGGCCATATCTGAGGAGGATACCTCATTTGGAAGCAAGAATTGGGCTTCTGTTTACTTGGCCAGCACACCGCACCAAGCTGCATCAATGGGACTCAAATTTCCAGGAGTTAATGAGGTACCCGATTTGCTATTACCCTTATATAACAAGGAAGTTATGTAAGATTTGTATCTCTATTGATGAGATGATATTTGCAGGTTCAGGTCATATCTATTGAATGATGAATTAAAAACTTTTTTTTTTCAAAACAGTAATTAGTCTAAGTCTTGTTGGGCTGCTGTTTTTTAGTCCTGAATCAATTCTAGGTCTTTCTAGAAAATTGCTTTTACCTTGCTCTCGGTTTGTTGTACTTGTACTCATATAGCTAATCCTGATATTTATATATATCTCAAAATTTTAAATTTTTCTTTGTACTCGTTCTCTTGCTTTCCTCTGTCCCAAAGAGACTGATATATTGAATTAGAATTTCCAGAACAGGTTTGCTTTTTAATCAATAATACCAATTAAAAGACTAAAAGCTCAACAGTGCAAAACACCAACCACTTTGTCCTATTATAGTAAAACAAATTCTGAGAAATAAGCATTTGGAAATTGGAATTAACAACCTTTCCCTTATAAGAAGTCCTATTCATCTCTATCCTACTGCAGCACATTTTCAGTGGTACTAATGCATAGTCTGGAAGAAAGTTTCTTTCTGCTATAATAAGTTGAAAAAATATGTTCTTTATTTTCCCCCCTTTGTGTGGTTAACAGTGTTTTCTGTGATCTTGGATCCAATAATGTATGATCTGTTTAAATCTGCTATTGATATATTAATATGATATTATTGACTTGCAGTCATGAATGTATAATTTCTCTAAAGTTGTCTGATGTGTAACCAGAGATCTTTGTGGAGTTCCCATCTGCAGTCAATACACACCTTTTCTGAATAAGTTCACATGCCCATGCAATTTCCTTTTATTTGTATTAATGTATTTTATAGCCTAGTTCTCTTGATTTTTAAGATTCTGTAACAAGGAATAAAAGTTCACCAAAGGTGTGAAAAGAGTTAGGAGGATTTTTTAAAGATTGTAGTTTACTTATCAATCATATTAAAAGTGATAAAAGATCCTTGAAACGATAAAGTCAACTAATTATCCATTTTCATGTATGGGTTTATCAACTGTGTAACTTTGCTTATTATCATAAGGGGACTGTCATAGCGCAGGTTTGATATGGACATTTTTTGCATCTTGTGTAATCATTATTCACTCTCTATATTAATTCCATTGTTATTCTGATGAGTTTTTGGAATCTTTTCTTCCCCAGGTGGAGGAGATTGAGGATATTGATGGTGATTGCACTAATCCACTCGTTGCAGATGCCATAGAAAATGAAAAAGAACTCATTCTTTCTGAAGAGCAAAGAAAAAATTTTAGGAAGGTCAGTCAGTGGATCTTTGATTCACTACCCTTTTTTCCTTGATTTCTTCAATTAGGGGTTTTGGACATTGTTTTTTGTCTGTGTAGGCATTTGTCTACTAGGCAATGAATTGAAGCAATGTTACAAATACAATCAATTTGTGGCAGGGTGCAGACAAAAGTTGTGTTGTTTGAAGAATTTTGTGGATAAAGCTTTTTGTTAGACACTTAGAACTTGCCTTTTAGATGGAATTCTAAATAGTGGATGCTTCTTAAACTTGATGGAGAT